CTGAACCTCACCCTCAGATCACATCTATCCTCATGTTTTTGCAGAGCTGCATTCAAGAGCAAATACCCAAGTTAGTTTTGGTTTTTCTGGTTATATCTTGGACAAAGTTTGACCTATTAGTTCATATTTGTTAGCTACTTATGAGCCCACAATGTCTGCATGGTTGCATTGTTTCAAGGCTACTTTACATTAAAAAAACACTAATCGGAGCTCATTTCGTCTTTTGAGATCGACGAAAGAACAAAGCTGGTCAGATGGTGTGCGTATTAAACCAGATCCACATTGATCACCTCTAATTAATTGGAAAATTAGATTTTTTTCCCCCATTTCGAATCACTTCCTGATCAAAAACCTCCATCTACAGCTGATGAACTTTGGTAACTTTTCATTCGCTGTCAAACCGTTTCAAAGTGTGAAAGTGTGAATGTTTTCTCTCCCTCCAGAGCCAAACTGCAGTTTTTCCAAAGAGCAGAACACAGAAGTTAATCTAAATTGTACCAGCGGCTTCTGAGAATCACCTAAAGACAAATGAATCGACGGGGAGACGAACACAGCTCGATTAAGAGCCCCGACACCCACCGGCCCGCGGCCCCATCGATCGGCTGATTGACGGAAACTCCGAAGACGAGCGGATTTCCTGCTGTTCCTTAGAAAATACAACAAACGGCGAGAAGAAAGTCCACAAGTCCCGAGTCTTTGGGGTTATTTCTGTCAGGAGCTCTATAAATATGAATCTGGTTGAAGATGGAGATCGGTTCAGGCCATCAAAAAGTCCTGGATGCTGATTTTTTACCAACTCCTGACAAACAGCAGTTTATATTAAAACCATCAGTAACATAAACATCCATTTATGTTCCTTCATTTAATTTAATGCTCTCATATTGGGGGAAAAACCCTTATTATTTGTGGAAACATGGATTTTTTTTATGTGGACATCATGTATTTTTTGTATGTGATGTAAATTAATATACGTTTTTTTTCTGTGATTTTAGTAGATATAAGCTTTAATTTAACAAAACAGAGAAAATCTGGAGAAAAATATTTTTAAAAAATATTTATTTTTCCGTCTTTAATTTCCATATTTTGAATTGATGGCAAATATCTGTAGGATAATTAGATTTAAAGACAGCAAAACCATCAGGCATTTTAAATCAATAATTTTGAAATAACTAATAATAACTTTGAAAAATAACAGTTAAGAAGTGTTTCCCAACTTTCAGTTCCAAATATTTATATTTTTTCATGAATAAATGGGCAAGTAAGTGTAAAAATAATGATTTTTATGCTGATTTAAATACAGTAAAAACTGTAATTTTACTGTCAAAAACTGTAAAAGAATAATTTACCCTTTGTGGAAATACAGACTTGTGCTATGAACAATATTTTGGCCTGTTTCTGTTTTTGTTTTGTACAATTTACATGTGAATTAATAGTTTGTTTGTTTTTTTAAAGGTTTTACTAGATTTATCTTTAATTGAACAAAGAAATCTCGACAAATGATTGATTTGTTTCACCATTTTTCAACCCTTAATATACATAATTTTTTCTTTCAAATGATGGTGAATATCTTTAATGTAATTATCTGTATCTGCTCAATTGGAGGTTGCTTTTTTTTTTAAAATCTGTAATTGGATGAAACTAAAAAGAAGAAGAAAAAAAGACCAGGAACTTATGCAGGTAATAAAATATAATAAAATACAATAAAAAATAAAATAATAAATAAAACAACAACAGGTGTTTGACTTTGTTTCCAATTTTTTTTTTACATTATGATTTCTTGTTTACAATAATTTAATTGTAATATTACAGTAACTACAAAAATATAGTTAAATGTGTATTTTTTAAACATTAAACATCCCTTATTAAAGATTAAAAGGGAAAAAAATGTAAATAAAATAAAATACATTGCATTTAAAATTAAAGAACTGTGCTTTAATTATGGAAAATGCTGTTTTTTATTTATTTATCTTTCTATATTTTTATTTCCTCTCATTTTACAGTAGTTTTTCCCTGCTGCTGAAACATGACTTTTTTTGTATTTTTTTTCTCACATTTTTCTGTAATCCAGTTCAAACTAAAGCCGTCTGGTTGTTGCTTTAAACTTCTTGAACCAGAATCGTCCATTTGTCTTGTTGCACACTCAGAAATATGTTCAGTCACCTCTGATTTTTGAACAGCAGCCTGCAAAACGCCTCCTGATATCACAGTTTTAGTAAAATAACTTCTGCACCATTAGACTGATGCACATAATCTTGAACGAACGCTGTAACGCAGACAGAAGCAGAGCACAGAGTGAGTTGTTGAGTTTTAAACCCAGTCTGAGTTTCCATCCCCACACCAGACCCCAGATCCGTCCTCCAGATCCGTCCTCCATGGTGGAGGAATCCTCCCACATCATCGCCCTGATGACTCTCATTCTCTCTTTTCTGTTCTTCCCCCCAGAAAGCTTTAAACTGCCACTGATGTGAAAGGCGGCGCGCTGACCGAGTCCGGAGGCAGAGGAAGCATTAAAGGTTCCTATTGGTTTTTAAAACACTCTGCTAAGTGATTTAAATTATGACTCGGGTACACGATATGCTAATAAAGTCTGTTCCTGCATTCCTCCGCTGTGGTCTCTGGGCCGGAGCTCTGCAGCAGCAGTTTCTCATTTCTGAAGCAGCAGAAGGAAAAAAAAAAAAAAAAAAAAACGAGCTGAAGGAGTGACGGGATCCAGCGTCTGGTTTAGATGAAAGCTTAAAGGTCAAGTCAGATTCTGGAGGAAAACTATCAGCAGCTAAAAGGTAAAAAAGAAGAAAAAAATCTAGAAAAGAACAACGAAAATCAGGCAGCAAGAGATCCAGAAAAGTATATTTAAAAATGACAGAATGCTGTAATGTTAACAAACTGTAAAATATAACAGCACATTTCTGTACAATTAGATTTTTTACTGATTTAAATAAAATGGAATATAATTAGTATACATTAAGTAAGTAGCATTTGTCACCATATTGCATGTCAGCCAGTGTACATAGGTTGACTTTTTTATTTTTATTTTATTTTATTTATACTGTATTTTTATTTTTTATTTAAAAAAAAAATGTATGGCACTAATACAAAGTTGAGAGGAAACTTTTCCTTGGTTCCTTGGTACGTCCTGGATATTGAGAAATGTACAATAAAAATGTTCTATTCTATTTCATTTTATTTTGTAAAAACATAAATTAAAAAAACACTGATTTTGAGGACACTATTTACAGTTTTTAACAGTTCGCATGTGAATTGATACAGTCAGTAGAATAACATTTTTGAAGTTTCTGTTCTATTTTTATTTCTTACCATGCATAATTTGTCTTTTAAATAAATGGCAAATATCTATAAAATAATGATAAAATAATGTCTTGAATACATTTACAAAAAAGGGTATTTTTTTTCTCAGTTAAATAAAAAAAGAATAATTTAGTATATATAAAAAAACTGATTTTTGAATTATTTTTGTTTAGGTTTTTTTTATGGTTGACACATAAAATAAGACTTTTTTGTTGCTTTGCTAGATTTGATCTGTAACTGAAAAAAAGAGAGAAAATCTAGAAAACAATGGTTAAAAATCCTTTTCTCATCAATATGCATAACTTTCCTCCTTTTAAATTATGGCAAATATCTGTAAAATTGTTATTTGTATTTGCTATTTTATTCATTTTTTAAAAATCTGTATAAACTGTATTTTAGGAAATTACAAAAACAGATCTTGAACTTACACATCTAATGTAAAATAACAACAGTTTTTTGATTTATTTTTTTTCCCCATAAAATTATTCAGCCATAATATTATAGTAACTAAAAAATGAAGGTAATTTCATTCATCTCTCTGTGTGTAAATTTTATTCATCAAACATTAAAAAGCCCCCCAAAATTAAAATATATTATTTAAAATAAAGGCGAGCAACTGTGGTTTGATTATGGAAACTTGCATTTTTTAAAAATTATTTATTTGTTTCTAAAATAAATAAAAATCAAAAATCGCTTAAATTTTACAGTAGTTAGTAGCAGTCTGAGCTGTTGGACTGTTCCAGATGGTTTTATTTGAACAGGCTGTCTGACAGTGTTAACAGTTAGAATCACAGCCTTAACCTTTAACAAATTCACTCTTTAGTCACTCTGTTACTAAAATACCCTTCTGTTAGTTCCTATCTATGTCTTTTTGTGAGCCGGCCTCACCGTGCGGCCAGACTAAAGACTTGTGGCTCTAATGCGGCGCGTTCATTCATAAACAAAGTCAATTAAGATGCCGGGAGGATGACGCAGCGTTACACGAGTGGTAAACACACACGACCCGGGGCCAGCCATCAAATCTACAGGATCATCAAACAGGCAATACCGTCGCAGATGTTTTATTCAGACCCACAAACTCCACAGCCGCAGAGACGCTTTTTAATATCCCCAAACTGCGTCAGCGAGCGGTAATGACGGCGCTGAGATCTCCCGAGCATGGCCGCGTGATTCACGGGTACGTTATTTATTGAGCTTCGTCTTGTTCGGATCACTTCCTTCATGCGTGATCCAGCTGTGGTGGTGCAGGTATGCAAGAAGAAAACAATAAAACCGCCCTGGAAGTACGAAATGATAAACAGCAGCAGATATTCAGCTGTCGAGGAAGTCTAACACGCACCGGATGGCTTTTACAAACCTCGGAGCGCACTAAGGACTTGTCCACACGTAGCAGGGGTTTTGTAAAACAGAATATCCTCCGCCTCCGTCTAGAAAAAAACTAACGCCACCTCGTTTTAAGAAAAGAATTCCTCCACACCTGACTGCCTAAGTGGTTCATATTCTACGTGAGGATGTAATAAGTCCGACCACAGGAGCGACGACCGGGATGTACGGAAATTGTCACGCCATTCTTCCAGGATTTCCGTCTCAAAGTTCTCCCATTGCGTCCCGGTGTCTCTGATGGAGAACATGCCTCGAACGCAAAGCATTTCACTGCGCGTTATACCCTGTTTGACTGTGTTTGTGACCAATAACGACCTTGAATCCTTGGAAAAAAACGTGGAATGGCAAGGTGGCGGAACATAGCCGTCCTTAACGGCGTCCGTTACCTTTGTTCTTGTACGTGGTGCAGTATCTGGGCCTGGACCAGAGACAACGCAGTTCTGAGGGCGTCCACGCTGTTTCCGAATGTAGAAAACAGATTTTGTCGCAGGCAGTGACGTTTCGTAACCTAAAACGCCGGTGATCGACGTCCACATGCAGACGCATAAACGGAGGATTCACAGATCTTCACTTTATTCGGAAGTTTTCGAAAGAATCGTTTTTAATGCCGTAAATCTGCGTTTTCTTGTGGATGACAGGCCACATCGTAGAAACATATCTTCGTTTCGTGAGATACCTGCTACGTGTGGACGAGGCAAATAAAAGCTCGAGCTCAGCAAAGGATGACTCTCGACATCAAGTGACTCAGGAGAAAATCTTGCTGTGGATCGCCAGAAAGTCGACGTCAGCAACAGAAATAGTCCTTTTTTTTCTTCTGTTTAACCCTCTAACTTCAATTAAGAGTAATTCCTCCACCTTCACAGGCAATCAGCGCCGAGTGAACTCTGACATTTCAGCACCTTCTTCTCTAATTTAGGTAAAATGACGAGGCTCAGTTCTAGCGACGGAGGCTTCCCCTCATAAGTATGCATTAGCTTCCAGTTCCAGGTTTGTTTCACCCTCCAGATTAACATATTGGGAGCTTTGCGACTTCTTTTGAGGCCTCTAGAACAAATCAGACTGCCATCATAGTAAAGTTAAGATATGAATTATAATTATTTAACCCCTAAAACATAACAAAAGTGACGTTTCATTTCCGTCCGGTCGGTGAATGCTCATGCTTACCCTCCTTGACGTGTTCAGCAACACACAACCGGAGTCGTCAGCGTCTGAGGAGAAACACAACAACACATGCAATTAGACATCCAGACTGAACCACAACAGATCACACAGAACGAATTTGTGCTACAATCACATAGAGAGGGAGGCGTTTATCCCTTGGTTGCACTTTAGTTGGTTTGTCCTTTAATTCGTCACCCCATAGCAAATGATTGGTAGTATTCTCATGCTCTGAGGCCTTTCGGTGACCCTTCCTGCTCTACGGATGAAGACGCTGTCATCCTAGAAGACGCCACTAATCACTCAGAACAACTTTGCATCGATCTGCAGCGACCCTTTGGTCCAAAGGGACGAGTGGATCCAAACCATGCTGGGTTTTTTTTTCCTTTAATTTGCCACCCGTCTGTATCTGTAATAATTCAGCAGAACCGGAGCAATTCTGCCATCTGATCACACATCTGAAGAGCCCACATGTGGTTAACGGGGCAGAATATCATATAAACCTGTTTGTTTTATTCAGAAATCAAATTAAACACATTTGCACACGAAAGGTAAGAATAAAGGTAATTTTAAAAAAGTGGGGATGTCCTGATCAAAACATGAGCCGGATCCTTTGTTTATGTCTGGTGCCACATTTCGTGCAGAATTTGAATTATTTTCCGAATAAATACAACATTGTCAACCAATAACTGGCTCCTGATGAGACAAATTGAACACTGTGGACATCTAGAACACAATCCCAGCTGGTCTCAAACACCTGAGTTCTTGTCGGAGGTCATTAAGCACCACAGAAGTCTTTGTCATGGCTCCCCTGACTGGCTACAGTATTACACAATGAGAGGCTCCACCTGGTGGAACAACCAAGTACTACAGCTAATCTACAATGACCGCAAAGTCCGGACTATAAGTCACTACTTTTTCCACATGCTTTAAACACTGCGGCTTTAACAATGATGCGGCTAATTTATGGAATTTTACGAATTTGCCTCGAGACCACTACGACAGAGAGACTGAGGAAGTGACGAAGTAATTCTGAGGCTGTTCAACTCTGACAGTGAAGAAGACGACTTTAGTGGTTTTAGTGCAGGAGGAAGATGAAGATAGAGATCAATGACTTTTCCTGGTAGGCTGCTGGATGTTTTATTTTCTTAACCAGCCGTGTTACAGGAACTGTTTGGAAAAAAAGCATTTACGTATTTGTGTATGTTAGCGGTACGTATTTAATTAAAAGTTAAAAAACAAATACCTCATGTTACAACGTGGACACCTGCAGACAATTTGTTTTTCTTTTTAAAGTCAATGGGTGTGGCTTATATTCAGGTGCCTCAATAGTCTGGAAATTACGTCACCTGAAGTGAGTATTATCTGTAAAAACTGTATTGCTTTCAATCAGCAGAAAAATAAATATTTAATGACTTGGATCGAATCGATGCAAAGTATAGAGCAACAGTGGGATGTGTAGTTTTTTTTTTTTTTTTGAAAAAACCTGGGAGAGGAAAACCACACCCTGTGGGGTGAAAAAATCTCCACACAAAAAGCCTCTTCCACAGCGTCTCTCCGCTGCCCCGCGCACACGTCTCTATACGTTACGCCTGCATGTCAACAAACTACATACTTTGTGAATAAAGTTCCTTTAAATCAGAGGAGATGTTCTATCAGACAGATTTCTCTCTTAGTTACAGAAAATGTCTTTTGTTGTCGCATCAAACAGCAAAAAAGACGCATAACATGATGTGTTTAAGGGAAATGACCTGACTTTTCATTGTAAATAACACAATATCTTATAGGAACAATATATGATCTACTAGTTCATAGGAGGGTATTCGTTTTCAACTATAAAATTGGCTTTACGTGCCTGTTTTGATGTGATACCCAACAATAAAATACACCTTACTGTCCTCTTAGTTGAGTGTTTCCTTCTAGTGTCGCTTTATTTAAGATGTTTTACATCCAAATGCATCTTTGTTCAGATAACCACAAAGAAGAAAGTACATGAAAGATCTTTTATTCTTCTAGATATCGTACGAAAACCAAATTTGCTGAAGTTATGGCCTCAGTTCCAAAGAACCAAAAAGCCGTGAACCGTCTCCTCCGTCTCTGACTGTCGCTACATCTTCCGACGTTATGACTACGATCTTTTCGGGCGTTTCTTGTCTTTATCTGAGATCCTGCAGTGACGGGATGACGAGAAACGACGGCGGCAGAGAGAGAGAGACGGAGGATGACACGACCTGAAAGCGGACTTGAACCATGTGATTCGAGGTCAGCGCCTTTGGGCCGCCCGGGGATCCCACGACCTCCACGACCTCCACCCAGCGCCGCCGCTTCCTCAACAGAACGGTTTGATGCAAACCCGACATCGTGAAAGCGTTCCTCAGCAAACAGAACGTTCATTAGCGCTGGAGGGGAGTTCTGACTAACGAGGAAGTAGGTTCTGCTTCTAGAAGGGATGGAAGTGTCATGAGGCAGGTCTGTAAACGCTCCCACTGAACGGGGATTGGAAATCCTGCGCTGATAAGGTTCTAATGCACACGTCTGCCGAGCCGAGGCGAGCGCTTTAGATAAAGTACAAAGGTTCGGATTTTCCCAGAGTCAAAAAAAAAAGGAAATGGAGGAAGAAGCTTTTATGTTGGAAAACAATATATAATCATAGAAGCGTTACGTAACGGACGGTACCAGGCGACCGCGGGCTTCCCTCCTCCGCCGGGATTCATATTTAAATTAGATCTCATGTTAACGGCAGGAACAGTGAGTGTGTTCAGAAATTCTACTTTATGTTTTACTTCTGTTATTTAAATTGTCCACAAAAGGACAAAATACTGAAAAAAATAATAATGTATGATGTTATTTTAATGGAGAACATTTGTTAATATTCATAAATGTAGTTTTAATTGTAAATCTCTACTGTCTGGTGGTGATTTACACCTAAAAAAATATTGTTGTTGAACATAAAAGGACAAAATAAATCAAATAAATAGATTTACAAACAAAACAGGACAAAAAAACAAAATAAATGTTAAAAATGTTGACTTTATTTCATGTTAATGGGAGAAAATGTGAGTATAATAATACATTTAACTTTATTTATTTTTTACCTCTATTATTTTGATGTAAAAATAATGCAGTTAACAATGAAAAAACAAAATAAGTTTAAAAAAAAAAGTATACTTTATTACATGTTTTTAGGAGAAAATCTGTGTATATTCATAGATTCTACTTTATTTGTAAATATTTATTATTTGGTAGACAATTTACAAATAACACGGTCGGCCATAATAATATAAAATCAATTTTTTTAAAAAGTGAGAATATTTATATATATTTTTTCTACATTTTTTCTATTTGGTAGAGATTTACAAACAATGCTGCGTAAAAAACCACGATAAATTACTTTTCTTTTTTTCTTTTTTTTTTTTTACCTCTAGTTTTGAAATTAGAACAATGTAATTGACCACAACATGACAAAATTAGTAAAAATGTAAATTTTATTTAATGTTAATGGTGGAAAAATGTAGGTACATTAATAAACTACATAATTTATAAAAATTACTACTATTTAGTAGAAATTGACGAGTTTTTTTCCATTTTTAAACTGAATATTTAATGTCCTATTAATGGAAAAACAATCTGTGAATATTAATAAACTATACTTAATTTATAAACCTCTATTGATGTGGGCACATGTTTACCTTTCATGGTCAACTCTACTGTTTGTAGAAGTTCATTTATGATGAAATATCTAATAATAATAATAATAATACATTTTAAAATGAATCTTTGATTTCTATGTAGAAATTGTGCTTGATTTGTAAATGTCCACTAGTTGGTCATCATTAGGTTTCTAGAGATTAAAAAACAGCCTAGATGAATGTTAAAAAACAAATAAATGTATGTTAGTGGAGGAAAATGTGTGAACATTTATGAATTCTACCTGATTTCCACATTTCTGTTGAACATATATGGAGATTTAACTTTCAGTGGCAACTCTACTGGTTCATATATGATAAAAATATGTAACTATAATAAATTTTAAATTAATATTTTGTTATGTTAATTGGGAAATTCAATGTCATGGTATTTGGGGGAAAAAATCTGTGCATATTTATAAATTGATTTGTAAATGTCTACTAGTTGGTAGAGGTTCATCAATAGGTTTCCAGATTAAACAACAGCCTGGATGAATGTAAAAAAACAAAATAAATGTCATGTTAATGCAGGAAAATGTGTGAATGTTCCTGAATTCTACCTGATTTACATGTTTCTGTTGAACATATACAGAGATTTAACTTCCACTGAAAACTCTACTGATTATAAAGGGTTTATATGTGATAAAAAAAAAAAATATTTTAAAAAGTGTGTTTAAGATAATTATTATAACATTCAAGGCTTTTGCTCTCCTTAGTGTGTTGTACTTCAGATCAGGGGAACACAGAATGCTGGCGTTGAACTTGGTAGCAGGTGAGTAGAAATCATCCAAACTATGATGCTGTGAGGACAAATGGAGGAACGAGCAGCAGCCAATCAGGAAGCAGCCGGCAGGCAGCGTTACGTAACGCCGAGCGGCCGTTACAGTTATGAGGTTACCGTGGGCTTCCCTCCTCGGCGCCGCGTGAGCCGCTGTCGCCTGGAAATCAATCAGCGCCAAACTCCTCCCTCCAGCGATGGAGGAGGAAAAAAACAAACAGCAGAGAGGCTCTTCTTCAACAAGCCTTCAGCAGATCACAGTATCAATAACAGCGACAAGTGTTTGATCGGAGAACACCTTCGTAACAGCAGCCGAGGAGGAAGCATAAAGGAAGGAGGGCCGATGGGGGCCGATGGGGGGCACGTGTCGTGTGCAGAGGATTTGGTTCATCAAAGCCTCACAATCAAAAAGCTCACGGCCCGGTTGATCCGCTCCCGCAGGAGGAGGCAGCCCGGCGCTAATTGCTGTCAGGCTGCGGCAGATATTCATATATTCATATAAGATTAGCTGGTCCCCAGCCGCCACCTCCGTCTAATGGCCTCCGTAACGTCTCCATGCTCTCCTGGCTTACAGTAATCCAGGAGA